TAGATTTGACGAACTGGTTCTACCGAATAGGTGCGAACTGGTAGGAACCCACCTCTGGCCAGTTCCCAAAAGCTGACTGACTATGGAATAGAAGAATAATGGGTGCCGTGTCTAGATGAGAAATCCTTTTTCTGAACCTTTCCACTCCCGCTTTAGCCATTTTGCCAATGATTTGCATCAAGCAACTTGGCAGAGAGTCTTCCTTCTCCGTACTTCCTGACCTTACCATGGCTTTTGTGCAACAAATAATTTAATCCTGTTAGGCTGTTTGAACAGCTTGCAGGGGTTAGATCTGTCTACTGAGTGATTCCATTTTCTAACCGGAATGAAGCGAATGGGTCATCACTGGTAATTCTATCTTGGCCCTCTGGCAGTGGACGTATGGTATTTCGCAAGGCTTTTACCACAGAGACTGCTATCGTCTGTAATCTATAGAAAGCTGCTGACAGAAATCATCGAGAGCTGTGCTGATGGGCATCATAAATAAGCCAATACTGTTCCCCCCTCAAGTTCTATATTTCATTAGCTAAGCATCAAAGATCAATTGTCTTATTTCTAAACCAGTGTATTGGTTAAATGAATGAGCTGAAATATGATCTAAAGAAGGTGGAAATATAGCTGATAAGAAGACCTAGCACTATACGGAGCAGGTTGTCCTGCCTTTGACAGATGTGTCAATAAACCTTATGTCTGCTCCAAGAATTGAGAGATACTACTGGAACAGTGGTGGGAAAGTGTGGCAGGCCAAAATTCTAAAAGGAATATAATTGCAGGCCTGACATATGCATGTATAAATGTACGTATGTACCAGGAGTGGGATTCAAATAATTTAACAACCAGTTCTCTGCCCTTATGACCAGGTGGGTCATAAGGGTGGTGGTCATGTGACCATGTGGGCGTGGCCAACTCAACATTACTCAAGTCAATGAGCACTTCGCCTTAGCTGTTACAATGTAATAAGGGTTAACCGGAAAGGCAGTTTCTGTAAGCAGGTTAATAAAGACGTCATCAACGCGCCGACAACAGCATGGAGACAGAAGGGCGCTTTACAACAGCGCGTCGACAGAAAGCCGATTTAACTTAAGGTAAGGGTTAGGTTTAGGGTTAGGTTTAGGGTTAGGTTAAGGGTTAGGTTTAGGGTTAGGTTTAG